GGCCGAGAACGCGTTGAAGACGAACCGCGCTCTGGACGACCATCAACGTCTACCGACGAGGGCCACGTCCAAAAAAATCGAAGATTTGGTGCTTGAAAATCGTCGACTGACAATGAGAGACCTCGCTGATAGTGTTGGAATATCATTTGGCTCAGTCCAAACCATTTTGAAGGATGTTTTGTGTCTCAAACGCGTCAAGTCTCGATTGGTGCCATGTCATACTGCATTGGTTCTTCGCGACTTTTTTGCCAAAAACTCGACTCATATCGTTCCGCAACCACCGTATTCGCCTGATTTGGCTCCGTGCGACTTCTGGTTATTCAGCAAACTCAAAAATCCAATGCGGGGACGCCGTTTTGACACGATTGAGGAGATAAAAACCGAATCGAAGAAGGTCTTGAAGGCTATACCGGAAAAAGACTATTCCGACTGTTTCGAGGACTGGAAAGAGCGTCGGAAACAGTGCGTTTTATCGGACGGGGATTACTTTGAAGGGGATGAAATTGATTTGGAAGAATAAATAAAGAATTTACATTTTGTAAACAGATTCACCTTACTTTTTGATCACAGTAGTATATGTGTTATACCTATATTGCCCAAAAGCAGTCGTTTTGACTGCTTGGAAAATTTAAAATAATCAAATGACTCTTATTACTGAATCGAGTAAATTTCTTATATGACTAGTTCGGCTCTGTATTGAAATAACATTTCTCATTTTTTTCGATTACCGTTACATGATAACAAACAAGTACATGATAAATTGTCGATTTGGGTGTATATATACTACATAAGTATATTCGTATCTTATAAACTTTTTCTATTGTTAATATTTACTAATAACCTGTTGTATAACTGTAAATAATATAAAAAATATTAAAAATTAATTTTAAACCAATTTCTTTACACATTAGTTATTCTTTCACAATGCAGCCATTTTGTCTGCTTTTGGGCAATATAGGTATATACTAAGTTTCAGTCTTTCTAGTGTTACCTCTTTTCATTCGAAGCCGTTCTAACTGTGTAAATCTAAAATCATTTTTCTCGCTTGCAGTATTATTTCCATTTTACACGACAAAGTGCATTTTATGAATATGAAATTGCGCCTTGCGATTCGTGCAAGAGTTACGCTTTCTTCAATTTTTTAAATCGAAACTTTTTACATATATACTAATATATTTATATACTTTATATGCTAAGTTTCAGTCTCTCTAGTGTTAAGCGAATAAAAATCGCTCGATTCCGAAGCGAGCCCCGTATTTCTGTCGCGGAGCGTGTAAGCCGAGCTTCAGCGAGACACCCGCGAGAGATCCCAATGACCGTGTACCGATTTCCGAAATGCGAGATACGCGTGTAGGCTTTTGGATCGGGCCACGCGGGTTCGCAAAGAGCCAACAGGACGAGCAGGAGGAAAAACGCGACTGAAAGGCCGGCAAATAAACAATTCTATCTGCTCGCAGATACGAGTCGGTTCCCGGCCGCATTGTTGCCGTCGGTATGGGAGGAGTTAAACGCTCGGGCTTCAAAGCCAGTGTTTACACTTGAGCGTAAACTCGACGCAACAATATTTATCTGGCCCTTGACTTTTATCGGATAAAAGTGAACCTGTTGTGCGGAGGACGGGAGCGCGGCCGATACTTTTTCGAGTCGACAATCGGAGGAGTGGTTCTCCGGGTGTGTCGCGAACGAGAGCTTTATTCTAGATTGCGTGCGAGGATAATCGCGCGGACGGTCGACGACGTGTGCGCCCTCGCGCACGTTTCTCCCTTTGATTAAATTTTACGCGAGCTGTTCCGCCGAGCGCGTTCCCTTCGGGGACGATCTCTCGCAAGCGTCGTCGCCTCACCTTCGCCTCGGCGCATTCGACGGAATTCTGCGCGCGAGCCGCCTCGCGGATCAGCTCGCTCGGAATCGGGGCCGAGTAACTTTTAATCGAGGCAAAAAATACGGACGCCAGCTTCTCGAGATTTCAAGTTGCCGCCGCGAGATATGCAGGCGACGCTTCGCGCGGACCCCGGACAATCGATACAGCGAAGTATCCGACGAGGAAAAAGCGTTTCGTGGCTCTTGGTTCGAAGCATCCGATGGTCCGAATTTTTACAAATTCGTCTCGCCGTTGGCCACGATATTATCTGATTTCTATTCGATTTCGATGCAGCTCCGCAACCGCATGTCGTACACACAGTTTTCTTCAATTCTGGCCTGAATGATTTGGCAAGTTGAAACGTGCGATGCTCGTTGCATTTCAGCAAATAGATCGAATACAAAAATCAATCTAGCAAATAGTTCTTTCTTTATTTACCACCCGATATGATTTGATCGCGAAGGCATGTGATTTTGTATTTTGTCTTTTCTAATCGTTATTGTTTTTTACCGAGTTGAATCGTGCCAGTTAACGCAGACGTCTCATAAAGAGAGAGAACATATTTTATACCTTCTTGAATAAAAGTTCTAATTGAAAGCTCAAATAGTGAAAAGTATTGGAGTATAATTAAATATAATTCAATAGTAATAAAGTAGACTCCGGATTTTACGCATTTATGGGAAAGATGAGTAGCTGATATAATAAATCGCGAAGATATAAGAACAATTCTATAATATTGTTAAACTATATTCAACATACCAAAAATATTAACACTAAACCTACCGCGGTCAAGGTGACCGCCGCTTTCTTATTTTGCAATTCTGAAAACTTCCGAGACTCTTTCGTGGAAAACGCTTGATTAAGTTATATTATTGGAGCAAGTTTTATAATAAAAACTTCAGAAATTCTAAATAAATTCGGTCTTCTCACTTTTTGTGAAGCAGTACATGCCAGTTAGTATTACTGCTTGGTAGGTTTAGTGTTAAAAGGAACAATTTAGTTTTATTTAATTTCTGTTCCTCGCAATTGTCTTCGAAAATAGGTGCTTCGCATGAAGATCCGCTCTCTAATAATAGGACGGTAACTTCAATTTTTTCTGCTAATAACTTATATTAATGTCATATGAATTTGCTAATACATATATATATTATATAATACATATATAATGTAATATGCCTTTTGCTAACGTCATATGTAAACTACGGAAATTTCCGCAAAACGCATTGCTTCATAAGAAATAGTTACAAGAATGGAACCTGGAAAAACATTTATTTTATCAATCGCATCTATTTGCAACTAATTTTTCTACTTTTTAATTCTCTGTTTCTTCTTTAATTTCCTTGCGTTTTCTTGTGCTACGAGCGACAAAGTGTCGACAATTGGCCGACGATGTCCACGAAACTAGGTGTTCCGTTGCACCGTGCGTCGCTTATTAAAACTAACACGGGAGGTTCTGGGTCGTGGGACATCGAGCCGCGAAGCCGAGAGTGCCGGGTTTCGTAAGCCCGACCAGTTTAAACAGTTTTTATTGCGCCGGTCGGAACTTATCTTCGAGGGAAACTACTTGGCCGCGAGCTGCGCCGTAGCTGGTTTATAGTTGCTCGGCGTTCCCCGAATAATTTCGAAGTTTCTTGGGAGTTCGGCGAGAGAGTGGTTGTTGCGGAGTGCATTTAGTGTATTGTGTTCCGGGAGTCAACGGTAAGCCTCGATTAAAGCTACCTCATTATAACGATGAATGACTGATGCGAACTTCCCCGCGGAAGATTACGAAGTTCCCGGATTGATTCCGCGAGCGGAAACTAGGCACCGGCGTGTCTTATTGCGCGGATTCCGCTCGAGGACTGTCTCGTCGTCGCGGCGCACAGTGGTTCAGGTTGTACGGAAATCCGGTCTTTATTGCTCGTACCTGAGACACCAGGTCTTCTTCGCTCTCTAGTCTTTTGTTTACGTTCAGGTGTCCAGAGCAATTGTAATTAAACGTTACCGTAGCATATATTTTTTTCCATTTTTTTTCCAACAAGCAATCCTCGTTTAAACTCATCGAGTAAATAGCTGGTTGACGATTGTATTAGGTCTACCGGAAAGTTCTGTCCGATAGTGTCACTTCAAGTTTCAATTCATATGCGTATGTTGATTTGAGACATATACGACTATCTCTCTTTATCGTTGCATTTACACGCATGTACTCTCCTAAATAAACTGAAATCTCATGTCATTATTAGGCGACACGCGATCGCGAAAACATGGCTACCGATGATAATGCCAGACCACATGCTGCTTTGGCGACTCGTCAGAAAATCGCAGAGCTAGGCCGGGAAATTCTGTCGCATCCACCATACTCCCCGGACCTAGCACCCTCCGATTATCACTTGTTTCTCCCTTTGCAAAACTTTTTACAGGCAAAAAAATTCAAAACTGAAGTCGATGTCAACCAAGCACTGGTTGAGTTCTTCGCCTCTAAAAATAAATCATTTTTTAAAAATGGCATTTACAAGTTGCCATCACGCTGGCAAGAAGTCATAAGTAACGATGGAAAGTATATTCTACAATAAATATTATTAAATGTATGAAAATTGTGTTATGTTTCAATTCGAAAACGGACAGAACTTTCCGGTAGACCTAATATTTTCTCCAGCAGGAAACGCGATAAGTAGACAGCGGATTTTGTGGCAAAAACGAGTAGTTTCGATTTAAAATGTTATTATGATATTATGATATTATGATCATTGTATTACTTTCAATCTAATAGAATTATTGAAAAGAAACGAATGAACTTTTTAGTTTATTTCTGTTTCTTGCAATTGTTCTAGACAATTCTTATTCTGCGATAAAAGCAATCTTAATTACACGTTGCAATGCATCGTTTAAACATTGTTTCGCACGAATGGATTTCTGATAAATCTTTAGTTTTCGGTAATTTGGTAAATCCCTTGCTAAGTAATTAAGTAATTAAGATGCTTTCGCAAAAATATTTATAGTAATTTTATTATCGTAAAACATACCGCTGCAATAAACATTCCTGTTTATTGCGTTATGTTTTCTTTCATAAAGTATAAATAAACATCAAAGTCAGCGTTTCGTTGCAAGTGTAAAACACTGGCACGTTTTAAGTCGACTTTGATATTGAGAATGCAGTACTTTACTTTCGATGGAGTAGCAAAACTATATTCAGAATAGTATATTTGTTTATTTATTCGTCGAAAATCACCCTGGACAACGTACATCTCCAACATTGCGAAAATAGGGTTTTGTTCGCTTTCGAACCAATGTGCACCGCGGCTGATCACGGTCGGATAGGATCTTCGCCGTTGTCTCGTCTACCGGAGCACTTCGAAAGCAATATCATCTTTCGAAGTTGCGAACACCCGGAAAATTTATTGCGACGACAACGTTCCCGCGATTGTTCCGCCCGAACGACCGTTCCCGCGACGCGAGCTGGATCTCCGACGGGATCCAAACATTTTTAGGGACAGCGGATGTTGGTGCCAACTGTACCCCCGCGATATAAGAAGTGCTTGCAAAATGTACTCGCTCGGATAAATTGTGGAGGCTTTGTAGAAAAAAAAAACAATGCAAGCGCGAGAAATGTAATTTTCTAGGAGGAAAAGGAGAGAGAACTTGATTTATTTTTCACGATCGCATATGACAATAAACAGTTGAATGACGGTTCTAAAGAAGCGACGCTGGACAATGTCGCTTATTAGCATTATTTATGACTGTTTATGAAAAGATGTTGCAAGATATCCTGATTAGCGCATAGAATATTTTAAGAAGAAGAACCAAAACTTCCCCATTTTCTGACACTTACATTGTTTTTTACGAACAGCCCCCTATTAAGCGTCTGTACCTAAACTACAAAAGTCACGTGCTTCTGATAGCAATGAGCAGACGAAGTATAAAATGTGCGAATACGTTAGAATAATTTATAAATACTGTTGTATTATTTTCAACTCGTTAAAATGATTGAAATAAGAAGTAAATGCCTATGCAGCTTCTATAGCTTGCAATTAAAGCGGACGATTTTTATTATTCCTAATTATCTCCAAGGGCTGAGGACGTCTTTTTGTCGACTCTGCGTAAAGAGGTTTTAGTTTTAAAGGGCAGCTTACCTCGATTAGGCAGAAAGAACGGCACACAGTTGCACAGATTGAGCATGTCGGCCACCTTGCAGTCGACGATGCAGTCGCTGTAAGTGTAAGATGCACGGACCGCTGCCATTTCCTCTTGAAACACGCAGTATCTGTGTTTCAACGCATATGGTATGACATTGGTGGTGCTGTAGAACAATATCGCCTCGATTTCTACGTCTCGTTGTGTTTTGGGAGACACGAAGATCTCGATCACGCCCCCGCTGGTCATGTCCGGGTAGTCGTGAGGGTTGAAAATCGTTACCTACCAAAGTCAGCGCTTTTAAAACAGTTGAACGTTTCGATTCGATGTACAGAAAATTCTACCCGATTTTCCTTCAACTTGTAAACAAAAATTGACAATTTGAGAAAAGAAGATGACTCGAATAACCGTATCTCCTCTTCCCAAATTGTCCACAAGCTGAAGAAAAATTAAGGAGAATTTACTGTATCGGGAAAGTTGTTTCAACAAAAGAGTATTGAAAATGCACTTGATTCGATATTTTGCTAATATTTTGCTAATAAAGATTTCAAAGCTACCAGAAAAATGTCGAACAGTTTCTTTATTTTTCACTCTAAACGTTAAAAAATCGTCTCTTTCATTTTCGCGTCAAACAGTTTCTTTTCTTTTTAATACATCGTATTTCTTAATATGTATATTTCCCAATATGTATTTCTTAATATAATTAGCAGAAAGAATTCTTGCATTTAATGTACCATGTACAAACGCAATTTGCAAAGGCTGTGCAGTAATTATCGGAGTATATTCGTTCGTTGAAAATTTGAATAATTTCTATAGAGGATTTTAATTGTGGAAAATTACGCACAAAAGCGAATTACGAACGAATTACGTTCTCGAGTCGAGCATGTGACTCTTACATTTTCTGAGACGATTTAATGCGGTAAAATTGCTCTCTGAACCGTGAAACGCGCGGTAAAACTTTCCGAGGACTAATTAAGTAGCCGACGATGTTTGAATTAATGAACCTCTTCATTGATGGACGGACTCCGATGGATACCTTCGTAGATCGATATTACCTTGAAGCCGGTGATGGGGAAGATAGGATAAAGATAATCGTCCAAGACTGACTCCATCAGGACCGAGAGCCCGCCATCTTTGCCCAAGACGTCCACTTTGACTGGATCCAGCCTGTGATCGACGCCGTTCCGCCGGTTGTAATTAAACGAAAGACAAATACATACGTGTACCATTGAAGCACGAGTGAAAGCATTGGAACACCGTAATACGGGTGCCATGGAAAGAAGCGAGCAAACAGAGACGCGTCGAGCACGCTTAATTAGTTTGATTACAGTACACAACGAGACAATTAATTTTTACATCGACGAGATCACTGCTCGCACGAGTCGGTTTACAGATCAAACGAAACAGAAACGATGAATTTCGAAGCCGCAAAATACCAGCTGGAAAAACAGCTCTGCAAACAAGAGACGAGATAAGGTAAAAGTACCTATTTTGAAACACCAGATTGTGATCCCAACGTGAAACACTAGCACAGATAATGCAATAAATAATAGGTAATATAATAGGTAAAATAATAGTTCCACAATAGGTAAATGCTCGTACTTTGCTATTTTGATCGTAATAGTTTTTATTTATATTTAATAAATATTTCAATGTACATTACGTTGTCTGTAAACGTCGATCTATCGAACAGTAGTACAAGTATTCAGCTGTAACGCTTTTAATTACAGTAAAGAGAAGCGTTCCATAATAGGTACATTTGCTTTATTAATAGACCGCGGATTTTATGCATTTATTGCAAAAATGGGTGGGAGAAACTGAAAATGGTAAGAAAATTAAAAATTAAGAATATTATATCCAAATTCAACTTAATAATATTATTACAGAAAGAAAATAATACTTGCAATTGCTGCAGATATTGTTTACTTTGCACAAAGATCCGTAATCTACTTATTAGAACCGTCTCATTTCTGTCTGGTTAAATATTTTACAAATATTACTTGTTTAAGACCGTGGAACGGTGATCGCGCTAATTACAATCGGTGTACAACATCATTTTTGAATTCCTTTATCATACCAACCGATTGCAATTTTTCCAAGCAATTTTTTAGCCATTGTCTAACATCCCCCAAAAAATTTAGATCTTTTGGTCCAATTATAAAACAAAAAAAGTTATCCCGTTTTAAAAGGTGTACGAATCCATTGTACACCGACTGTATCTGTCGACGAAAAATTCCGCAGCTTCGATACTTACAAGGAGATATCGTCGCCCTTGGTGGCGTAATTGAAAGTGCAACAGAATCCGTCCTGCGTTTTACGAAACGCGAACATGTCCGAGCAATTTCCGTCCTTGTCGTGGAACCGGCATTTCGTCAGCAAGACCGAGCATTGTGGCGTCAGCTGGAATCACTATGTCCCTATTAGTAAACTTTTTCACGCGACATTTGATCGTCCGAGAGAGAAAGAGAGAGGGAGAGAGAGAGGGCGGGGGCAAAGAGAGAGACAGAGATACGGAACAAAATGAAATAAATATTAGGTCTACCGGAAAGTTCTGTCCGTTTTTGAATTGAAATATAACACAATGTTCATACATTTAATAATATTTATTGTAGAATATACTTTCCATCATTACTTATGACTTCTTGCCAGCGTGATGGCAACTTGTAAATGCCATTTTTTAAAAATGATTTATTTTTAGAGGCGAAGAACTCAACCAGTGCTTGGTTGACCTCAGCTTCAGTTTTGAATTTTTTTCCTGTAAAAAGTTTTGCAAAGAGAGAAACAAGTGATAATCGGAAGGTGCTAGGTCCGGGGAGTATGGTGGATGCGACAGAATTTCCCGGCCTAGCTCTGCGATTTTCTGACGAGTCGCCAAAGCAGCATGTGATCTGGCATTATCATCGGTAGCCATGTTTTCGCGATCGCGTCTCACTTAATAACGACATGAGACATCTTTGTTTCAGTTTATTTAGGAGAGTACATGCGTGTAAATGCAACGATAAAGAGAGATAGTCGTATACTACTGTGATCAAAAAGTAAGGTGAATTTGTTTATAAAATGTAAATTCTTTATTTATTCTTCCAAATCAATTTCGTCCCCTTAAAAGTAATCCCCGTCCGATAAAACGCACTGTTTCCGACGCTCTTTCCAGTCCTCGAAACAGTCGGAATAGTCTTTTTCCGGTATAGCCTTCAAGACCTTCTTCGATTCGGTTTTTATCTCCTCAATCGTGTCAAAACGGCGTCCCCGCATTGGCTTTTTGAGTTTGCTGAATAACCAGAAGTCGCACGGAGCCAAATCAGGCGAATACGGTGGTTGCGGAACGATATGAGTCGAGTTTTTGGCAAAAAAGTCGCGAAGAACCAATGCAGTATGACATGGCACCAATCGAGACTTGACGCGTTTGAGACACAAAACATCCTTC